TTTACTTTTTCATTATTTATTTCATCAAATTTTATTTAAAAACCAATTATTTCGATCATTTTTTTTATATTCGTCAAGTTTATTTTTATTAAAATGCAGTTTTGTATATATTTTTTTTTATTATTAGTAAAAAAAGGAATTTTTGTTGAATATTCTTTTAAATTAAAAAATTTAATCATTTCTAATATGTGTGAATCAACTAATAATTCAATAAAATTAAACAGATTTATTTTCTTACTTTATTAATATTATATAATTTATAGCAATAATTCATCATTGAATTCTATTTCATTCTCTTTTTTTATATGTATACTTATATATAATTTTATATAATTATATATATAACATTTTTTTCATATAAACATAATAGCTTCAATCATAATAGCAGATCAAGATGCTATAATCAAGTTGTCAAATAATGATAAACAAATCCAAGATTAAATATGTCATAATCGCTAATTCATTTTCAAGTAATGAGTCTATAAAGCGTTATATTCATTTTTAATATAATGATAGATCTGTACATTTTATACAGATTCGTTACCTGATAAAATTTTTATCACTCACCGACCGATGCCCCAACCTCTCAGTAGTACAGAGCCGTGCGAAGTCTCCATTATATTTTACTGCATCTTCACTAACTGGCTAATGGCTTGATCGTGGCCCGTGACTGCGCGTACCAATAAAAGAAGAAGAAAGACCGATTGATGCACAGCAGTGGAGTTATCAGCTATGTGCTGCATGATTCTGTAAAGTACAAGATACAAGTTAAAATAGCGTTTAAAATAATCAATTAAAAAATTAATTTTTATACACATTGAATTTTTCAATAGTTTTTCAATTATATATCCATTAAAATAATTATATATTTTTTCAAAATTATCTTTATGAGAATAAATTTCCGTAATGTTTTAGATTAATTCTTTTTTTTAATTATTATTGTTAATTATTGAAATAAAACAATCTAATGGGAAGAAATGACTAATTTTTTATGTAAGTAAGCAATAAGCTTACTTACCGTAAAATTCATCCATTGTTTTTCTTGAGCTTCTTCTTCTTCCTTCTCCTCCTCTTCTTTCTCTTCACAAAATTGTCAAGCCTGCTTTTCACCTCTTCTCTTCCCATTGTTTGGTTTGTAACAGCATCTATCAGCTGAAAGAAATAGTTTATTAAAATTAAGTGCAATTGCAAATTGCTAAGGGTACGTCTTATTTTGCGCTTAGTGTTTGCAAATATCATTTATCCTTGTTTGATATTTGATAAATAAGGATGAACTAATGTTTACATCGTGTAAGCGTAAAAGCGGAACGCATCCTAAATATTATGCTACCATGTTGTCATTTTGTTCGTATAGTCGATATTAGACGTGTGCATAATTTACTATAGCAGAAAAAGAACGCATGAAATTTGAGTATCATGTTCGATACTCGCGATACTTTATAAATAAAATTTAGACATTGGAATGCATCTAAGATGGCGAAAGATTTCTGCAGTTGTCTTTATACGCGACATGCTATTCGCATGAGTATTGTGAAATACGTACTCAAACGAATTATCCATATACTAGTGCTGAAATTATATTACACAAGAAATTATTAGATATTTTAATAATTAGATATAAAATTAATATAAATTTTATTTACCAATTTAATAAATCGCAACAGCACTCATTTTGAGCCAACCATCTCGTATTCGTCGCATTCTGCAAATAAAACATAAATGCAATTAATATATCGAAGTGATTTCGTCTCTCGCATTATTAATTTTACACGTCAAGAGCGACACGGTGGCAATGCACGTCTTTTTCTTAATGAATATTGAATCTATAATTGCGCGAACTAAGTGTTGCAATAAACGACAAATATAGGTTTAATATAGGTTTCAATTATCATTTGATCAATGCCAATCTCATCTCTTAATTATATCTGTGCTTCATTTACAGATCGAAATGTGTAAATGAAACGTAGTTGTTAAGATTAAGAAAGCGAGACAGTTTTGTTTTTGCGCGGTTAACTTCGCGTGCCGAAGGCGACGCGAACGACGCGGCGTTGGGACGTTGCACTTCTTGCTCTCGGCGTCACGTTCATAAATTTTCCGTATTTCAAAATATATCTGATGCTCGAAATACGGAAATAACAATCACAAAGGGCAATCATATATTGTAATATACGCTCTTCTTTTATAATTATTTCCATATTGCAGATTGATATTCGGAAATCTTATCGTCAATTATTTAAACAATATACTTTCGGCGAACAAGTTTTACGAAATACGCGTTCGAACGGATTAATATGCGATTACCGAATCTCACGCGATAGTTAAATATCGCGTATGAAAATATATATTCAAGTTATATATTCAAATATATATATTTTAATTACCATATTTGATCGCGCATTTCTACTTATCTGAGGCAGTCCATTTTGCCGCATTTCGCGAATGAAATGTCTTCTTCGCGCGAGAATGGCCCCGATTCTAACACAGAATCGACACGGCCAGAATTGAAAATGCCGCTGTATGCAATAAGTAACAAAAACCAACATGCAGAATACGAAAGTCTAAAAAAGTAACAAACTCAAATGCGCGTTCGAAGCCAGTTACACTTTCCAAAGATGACGCAATAACGTCTGATCACGTCGGTAGACTCACCGCGACTGCGAACAAAATGCGATCGAAATGGGGGAGCGGCGTTTGTTTTCCGTGTGCGGTTAACTTCACGCGTAAAAAATGACGCGAGACGCGACGACACGACACGACGCCACATACTTTCAACCGAATGATCAGTGTGCTAGTATTATACTAGACTATAATATGCGATATTTACACTGTTACGAGAAGTAAAGGCAAAATTAATTATTGATTACCGTAGTAAAGAAATCCAACGACGAACGATCCTTTCGTGCCGATTCTCGTTTTATATTCCAAGAGATTCCTTCCCATTTTTCAGCAGAGTATTAGAATATGAAGAAAAAATCACAATCGATTCGAAGACAGGGCTGATAGGGTGAACTTTTCCAACGTAGTTATAATTAGCAGATTAGAATCTGAAGTCAATCGATTCGAAGATAGGAGTGCGAACTGTTTCAACGTTAAAATGACAGGACGTACCCCCGTCCGCTGCTCGAGTCACAATAGCGTGCGGTCGCGAATTACGCGGTATTTATAGGAGCCATCAACCGGCGAACCCCACCACTCGCATGCCAGCCAATGAGCGCGATGCCTCATCGCTGCGCATGCTGATTGGTCCGCGCTAGCTTTCGAAATATAGTATATAAATGCTACACGCAAAGAATTTCAGTTTTTTTCGGAATTTGGAGCCGTACGTTTCGTAAAGATAAAGAATCCTATACCCATTCGACGAGCACTTTTACGATGTTATCATGTACAGTATTTAGTACATACTTTATATTACGTATACTGTAGAATTTCAAACATAAAAGTGTTTTGAATACGGACTTATAAATTATATTTTTTCCAAAAATTAAAGACTAATTAGAATAAATAAATGAAGGCTATCGAAAAAATTATATAAAAGAAAAATTGAACTTATAAAATAATAAGCAATTATAAATTGTGAATTATTTAAATCACACCGCGCAAGTATAGAAATATACTTATTGCTTAAAGTTTTATAATCAAGTTTTAAATCAAAATATTAATATAGCAATACTACTCCACTGAGTTTTTTTTTATTGTTAGGTATTAAATATATTATGCTAATATTACGCTCACTTGTGTATAAAATAAAAACATCAGGTTTTGTATAATATATACGGCATTGGAAAATGGATTTCACGAAATTATATCGACGGCAGAGAGAAACCTGAGAGAGGATTGTTGTGTAGTTAACCTACACTTCTTCAGAGGACGGTAGTGCGCGGCAGCATTTTACAGTTAGATTTTGGGCCGTCATGTCCTCTCTCAAGTTTCTCTCTGATCAAATCGTCAAGCGCATGCGAACGCTGGCGAAAACGTTCCAAGCGCAAGTAGGAGGCGTAGAAACAAGCTTGTGTCAACATTGTTTGCTTTTGTTCGCTTTGTTTTTCATCAAACGCGTGTTACGACTCGCGACGCACACAGTGAGAGAATTACTCCATCTTAAATTATTCGACGAATTTTCGTTGATATCGCGTATTAAACACGTGGTTATCTTTTTCATCAGCATGGAGTCTAGTAACTCGATGCCGCCAGGAATGGATTCTTCCGGCGAGGACATTATTCTGATGGAGACTGTAAAGAGTATGGTGTCACATGAAGGACGCAATGAAACAGAGGAAGCCGAGGAGGACTTCTTCCTAATATCGCAGGATCAGGCTGTGCAATATCCCGAAGAGAACATCGAGGAAACGATGTCTCACAGGCATCAGACGGAGGTCACATTGGCGTGGATGCATCTCTGCAGGATATGTGCTAACGCGAGCGATCATATGATACCCATATTTGAGGGCGAGGGAGCACAGCATGACTTGATCAGTAAAATACTCAAGTACTTGCCGATACACGTGTGTACAATAAACGTCGAGTTTCAGTTCAAGTAACTCGATAAATGACTCGTTGGTCATTTCCTTATTGTTTTTCACAGGTAACCGAAAGCGATACTTTGCCGTTGCAATTGTGCGAACGTTGCGCAAACGTTCTGATGGCCTGGCATGAATTAAATGAAACATGTTTGAATGCTGAGAGGAAACTGCTGGAAATGCAAGATTCGCATCTGCGAAATAAACAAGAGGTAAAAAGTGCATGAGGAGATTTGAGGAATCTCTGATTAAGATTACAAAACTGATTAGCAAGATAGTCAACTATATTCACGAAGAAAAATAAACTAACTGGATTTCTAGTTGAGATAATCAAAATTTTTTAGTAAATCTCTCTTAAATCTAGAATTCTAATAAACTTAAAAGAACAGAATTCTGGATCGTTTATTTTTCAGAATTCCAGTTGATTCAACCTGACATTTTTCTCCATATTGTATTCTGAGAGTTCAAATAAAATATATAGTAACATTTATTTGAACTAGAAATTGTAAAATGCACACAAAAGTATTATTAGGCAACAAGACTCACTTTGACTTCATATGATCTCTTTTGTTTATTTGTGTCTAAAATAACATGTACAAGGTAATGGATTTATATTGCCTTTTGTCTTTTTAGAATTTAAATGTATACTTTTTTTTTTTTTTTTTTT